TCCCAAAATAATGCAGATAGAAAGAGCATGTGAAGATGGTACTGTCATTTTCCGAGATGGCAGTGTTATCCTAGCTGACGTTATTCTGCATTGCACCGGGTAATTTTCACCTGGCTTCAATACAGTGTGGTTAAAATCAAATCTTAGTTAGACTAAAGAAACTGACTGAATGAATGATTGGATTTTTAATTTGCATCTCTTGTTGTGTTCAAGGTCAAATATGGCTTTCCTTTTCTGAAAACTGATGGCATCGTGACTGTGGATGACAATCGCGTGGGGCCATTGTACAAGCATGTTTTTCCCCAATCTTGGCCACGTGGCTTTCCTTTGTCGGGATACCCTATTGGGTTGAGCTCTATTGATATATATATTTATATATGTCCTTGTTTTAAGCTTTTATGAAAGTATGTCAGGTTGGTTGTCATTAATGTGCAACAACCATTTGCTATTACATCAATCATGTGCACTCATCCAAGATATCAAAGGTTGGCAGCCACCATTATTGAAGAAAAGGTGGAGTTGGCAGCCACCTTTATTGAAGAAAAGCCTCCATGAATGCCTATAAATAGAGACATATGCAAGAGAACAAAATGAGTGAAGAGAATTATGAAAATGTGAAGAGAGTAGAGAGGAAGAGAGAGCTGCAATGGCAGCAGCCTTGCTGCCATTGCAGCAGCTGCAAGTGCAGCAAAGAGAGTTGAGAGTTGAGTATGAGAGGGTGTAATCCTCCTCCTCCATGTATTTGTTTTGTATTCTTTCTTTATCTCTAAATATATTGACTTCTCCCGTGGATGTAGACGGTTTTGTCGAACCACGTTAAATATTGTGTCAGTGTGCTTGGCTCTTCTATGAGCAAGTATCAGAACATCACCGGTCGAAATTCTCAACAAAGTAATCATTTGCTTATGATTTCGGTGCTAGACTTTACCTTTCCCAACATTCGAAGTTCAAAGCAAATAGATTGCTGGTGTTTTATCAGGTCGAATTGCGCTTCCTTCACAAGAGGACATGGTGGAAGATGTTAAGATCTATTACTCTCAACTTGAAGCTTCTGGTGTACCTAAGCATCACACTCATAGCTTAGCTCATTCTACAGTAAGCCTTATGTCTGGTTGAAGTTTATCCTCCTCTTCCTTAGTCTAGTGGCCTTGCATCAATGGGAAACTTTCAAGTTAACATGGTCAAAGAACCATTTCTAATACATTTTTAAGTAAATGTTTTTGAGTTTTCTAATACATTTTTAAGTAAATGTTTTTAAGTTTGAAACTTTTAGGTCTATATTATTTTATATTTAATTTTTATTTTATAAATTAGAATGAGATAGTGAGATTTGAATTTATGATCACATGATCAACAAGACTCTGATAGCATATCAAAAAACCATCTTAATTTAAAAATTAAGTTATCAAGTGAGTTTTTGAAATATAATTTATATTATTATCTAATAATTAAGTTTCTTTGTTCTTGAACTCATTAGCAATGGTAGAATAACTGAAATCTATTGGTTGTGCTTGAATTTGAAATCATATGTTACTTAATTTGATTTTCCACTTTTGTTATAGCTTTTTATCTTTTTTCTATTCTTTTGGTACAAGGTTTTTTTTCTTTTTTAATTAAAATTATCATTAATATAGTTCAATTGGTATTAGGATAAGAGTCTACAATTTTGAATTTCATAATTTCTATTGTCTTTTCTAATTAAAATTAATTAATAACATAATATCACGTGAGTTATCATCTATAACATGAATCAGCAAACCACTTGCCTTGCAAACTTCTGTCCCTTGGGTCCCTGAATGTGAATCCTCTTCCTCCATTATTTGTGTACAAGATCCTGAAGTTAGCAACCTTGCATTTCCAGTTCCTGTATGGTAGCTAAGCTGATCGTTTTAGTGTATAGCTAAATGCCGATCTTCAACTTATTTCATTAATTTCTGGTGTTCTATGCCTTTTTACATGATGTTTTGTTTTCTTTTTTCCAGAATGACGACAACATGTGGCTTGCCTCCCAGTGTCAGTGTTCATGCTTTGAAGAATGGAGAATTGAAATGTCCCGTGAAATTCTTAAGAACTGGCGTGCTAGGCCAAATATGTATCGTGTCGAATGGGACGACGACCACCTGATCTTGCAAGCCCACGAAGACTTCAAGAGGCGCATCTCAAACAAAGTCAGTAATGGTCATATCTGATTGAAAGAGTTCGAAAAACTGCTCTCTGCTGCTCCAACTCCTCTGTTGCAGCAGAGATGAAAAATTTAAAAACCATGGTACAAGCATTCCATACAGAAGGTGCAGAGGAACCTTGACCATCCTAGTGTGGCACTCGCTTTCTGTATTCTGAAGTCAGGGCTCAATTTCTGTATCAAATATTATTAACAATTAAGTGACCATTAACTAAAATATGTGGGAAATTACTGTACGAACAAATAGCACTTACAGCATATGCAGTGTTTAGCACTGCAGTGGAAAGTGTTTTTTAAAAAAATTATTTTATTTTTTATTTTAAATTAATGTATTTTTGATATTTTTAGATTGATGTTAATGTAAACATAATTTTTTTTTTAAAAAAAATATTATTTTAATATATTTTAAAATAAAAGGTATCTTAAAAAAATATTTGTTTTTATTTTTTATCTTTATTTATTTTTTTAATCAATGTTTTGTTTATTTTATTTTTTAATATTAGATTTATTTTTTATTAGGTTACTTTTCATGATATGTATTAGAGGCTTGTTGAGTTAATTTAGTTAGCTGAGATTTTTTTTTAATTTTTTAATTTTATATTTTAATATTAAGTTAATTAAAAATTAAATGTTATGATTTGTTTTATTTATTTTTTATTAGGTTATTTCAAATTTATAATTTAGGAATGATGTTTAACAAGTTAATTCAAGTTTATTTTAGTTGTTTTTTGTTTTTCTAGTAATTGAACTCAAGTTTATTTTAGTTGTTTTTTGTTTTTTTATTAATTGAACTTTTTTTTTAATTTTATCATTTAATATTGGATTAGTTGAAAATTAAAATTTATAATTTGTTTTAATTTATTTTTTATAGTGATATCTTGGTTTTAAAAAATATTTTTTTTTGTTTTTTTATTTTTTTTTATCAATGTTTTTTTATTATTTAATATTAAATTTATTTTTTATTAAGTTATTTCACTTTCATGATATGAATTACGGGTTTGATGAGTTAACTTAGTCGGGAGTTTTTTTCTTTTCTTATTTAACTTTTATTTTCTCAATTTTATTTTTTAATATTGAATTAATTAAAAATTAAATTTAATGATTTGTTTTATTTATTTTCTATTAGGTTATTCCAATCTCATGACCCGAGAATAGTTTTTAACGGATTAACTTGAATTGACATTGGTTGTTTTTTATATTTTTGTTAATTGATTTTTTTTATTTTTTTATTTAATATTGAATCAATAAAGAATTAAAATTTATAATTTATTTTAATTTATTTTTTATAATGATATTTTAATTTTAAGTTCAGGATTATGAGTTTTTATATTTTAATCTTGATTAAATTAGGTTTTTTTTCTCGTTTCTAAAAAATTATTTCGTTTTTATATTTTTTAATAATAAATTTTTTTATTAAGTTATTCATATTTTATGATATAAATTATAAATTTAACAAGTGAAATCTATAAACCTAAGGTGTACCTAATCTAAAAGAATTAAGTCTGATTTTTCTGAAGTTTAGTTACAGATTTACTCTGATCTACGTGACATTTATTCATCCACTGAACCAGAATTGTTGACACCAACTTGGCAAGCAAACGCAAGCGTGCAGAAACTGCAAAACCCCTGCTAGTCGTGGCCCTTTCAAAAGTTAGAGCAGAGGAAGAGATTTGTGTCTTGGTACTGTGGTTTAATTATATTTTTTAAAAAAATTATTTTTATGGGTTAGAGCAGAGGAAGAGATTTGTGTCTTGCTATTGTGGTTTAATTATATTTTTTCAAAAAATTATTTTTATGGTTTAGCTTTAAATTATTATTATTATTTATTTTTAGATTGTTTTAATGTGTTAATGTTAAAAATAAATTTTAAAAAATTAAAAAATATTATAATATATTTTCAATAAAAAAAACACTTTAAAAATCAATCCCCACTACACTTTTAAATAATTTCAGATTAATATGTACAAGAAAAATTCATTAGGCTAAACAAAATCATAATTTTTTTTAAATGAACTTGGACCTGCCATTGGGCCATTCCATAGCTCACTGGGCTGTCATCTCCAAATTGCGCCTAAAAATTTGTGGAGGGAAAACTAATCTAAGAAGAAGCCCATTTTGTCCATTTAATACCATAAATACCCCACTACCAGCCTCTTTTTCGGTCGCACTTTCTCACAGAGCCAGGCACACTAAGGAGTCTTCCAATCCAAGAAATCTCTCTCTAAACGCACCTCTAAGTTTGCGTTTTACCGATTCTCTTCCTTAGTTTTCTACGAACATCGATTTCTTTTGCTTCTTTTCTTGTTCCAGTAATTCTTTTTAACATTTTAATAATCTTTATTTTCTTTTCGTTATTAATTTCTGTTTGGTTGCTAAGAAAGTTTTCGTGAACTGAACAGCTTGTTATCCACGTTCTATTTCATTTTATATGCAGTACTCCGTGATATCATTTAATAATCCTTATTTTCTTTTTAACATTTTCATAATCTTCATTTTCCTTTTAACATTTTCATTATCCTTATTTTCTTTTTGTTAATAATAATTTCTGTGTGGTTGCTGAGAAAGTTTTTGTGAACTGAACAAATTGTTATCCACGTTCTATTTATTTTTATGCGCGGTACTGAGTGATGTCATTTGATGATCTTTATTTTTTTGTTATAAATTATGTTAATTAATAAGGATTATATATAAATAACAAGCACCGCTATTAATTGTTGTTTTTTCTTCAATTTTTTTTAGTGTAATGCAAATTTGTAGTGTGTTTTTAGTTTTAGGATGAGTGTTAGTCTTCACTTGAATTAGGAATTTATTTATTTAGTTGAAAGAATGAACAGTGGTTAATTAGTAGTACCAGTAATTAGCTTTTGTGTGCACATGCGTGACACGAAAATCGAAGTTATTGAAATCGATGGGAATATGGGTCCCGCCATTTGATGGCAGTGGATTTTTTCGTGTTCGTGCATGGAATTTTGTGCTGGATAGCAATGTTCATTGCTTTTGATTAATGATTAGTGGTAGTGATTAGGTGGGATTTTTGATGTGCTTATGGTGGGCGATTTAAAGATGGCTAGTAATGTAGAGCTTTGAATGGATGTAATGTTGATGGTAAGGTATTGTTTGTGTATTGATAGGTGAATTTGGAATCAAGGTTTGAAAATAGTGAGGAAAGATGTTGGAGCCTGAAGAAGAGAGAGCGATGAGGATGGTACTTGAAGACGGGATAACGAAGACGAAGAAGATTATGGAAGGAAATCAAGAAGTGAATTTTACAATTGACGAATACCAGAGGTTGCATCAGTATCCTCTATGAATACATATCTAATTCTTTAATGCATTGTTGTTTGTTGTGTTTTTAGTTAATGTTATTTCAATGAATTAGATACCCTTCACTGCTTCGGTAGATGTGTTTTTGACCTGCATTCTGCTAGCTATCGTAATAACTCACATTGGCTTCTTGAAAGATTTGTTAAGAGCTTGGAAGAGAGCATCAATTCAGTGGTGAGTTCCTTTACTGGACGAGTTACTGTTTTGGTCCTTGGTAGAAAGAGTTTCATAGTGTTGAATTCAAGTTTGGGTCCTTTCAATGTGTATTCAAGCGTGCAGTATCCATTAAGCCAAGAAATCGAACTTCCATAATTGTCCAAATGTTGATATATGAGTGCATGCATTCAATCTCTGCTTGACATAAGTCGAAAAAGCTGCTTACCCTGTCTGTCATTCTTTCTGAACGTTGACCTTAGTCATAAACATCCACACTTTGATGTGTAAAATGAAACAACTGAACCTATCAATTGATGGACTGATATGTTATACCAATGAAAGAGAGAAAGGCTTGTTTGTTTTTGCTAAATTATCCGATTTTGCTTCCTGTTTTTTTTTCTTTCTTTTTTTTCTTGTCAAAAAGTACCATGAGAAGCCCTCCATCAATTAGCAATGATGAAAGTCAAGTGGACAAAGCCATTGAATCAGGATCATCCAGTAATTGGTCTATGGAATGATGCCTATATCAACAGATTTTGATCTTTGGATCCCTTCATGTTTTCTAATGATGCACTGTAAACGTTATGTGTGCTGTTTGAAGAGTTAATTTTTTTCCAATCTCATAGTTGATACCTTCCTTGGCATGAGTTCCGAAAAATAAACCATTTCTGGCGTCTTACATGGTGCTGTCGCTAATTTGTCAACTGGTCAATCACTGACTAACATTCATCCTTGGTGTAAATGGAAACAATTACGACTGTATATTGATGCTATATGGATAATTTTGTTATTCCATTATCAGGTATTGCCATCTTTTGTGGACAAACGCGATGCGCTCTTGTTGAGAGAACTCGTCTTGATGTGGTCCAATTACAAGATGATGACAAAGTGGCTCTGCAAATTTTTTGAATCCATTGACCGCCACTTTGTCCCCAATGTCTGTTATTGTTCACTCAATGACATCTCAAATAATAACTTCCATGACCTGGTAAAGAAATTTGTCATATTCTTCGTGTTAACTATGTTTTATTTTGCAACTAACATCTCCCCTCCTCCTCCTTGTATATTTTTTTTGAATTTTGACTATGTTGGTATTTATTGATTTGTATCTAAACTTTCAGGTTTTCAAGGAGTTTTATGTCAAATTCCAGGATGTTGCAATATCATTGGTATGTAAAATTTAAGTTTAATTTGGATTTTTTTTTCTTTTCTGAAACTCACATTTGAAATTTTTGACTGCAGATCAATAAAGAACGTATGGGACTGCACATCGACTGCAGCTCGCTGAAAAACGTTTTTCTTGTGTTTATGGAAATGCATAAACATACAGGAATAGCGTATTATGAAGGTTTCGAGAGTGTTATGCTGGAAGAAACCTCTAATTACTACTGTCAAGTGGCTCAGCAGTGGCTATCACATGGTTCACCAGCGGATTATGTTCAAAAGGTTTTCTTTTCATATTTTTGTTTGAGATATCAGTGGTCTTGGTGTCTGTTTGGGACGTGAAATACAACATTAAGCTTCAAAATATTATTGTAATGTTCTTAGGTTAACCGGTGCTTGGAACAAGAGGCAGAAAGAGCTGATCGATATATTCCCTCTGGTACACAACCCAAGCTATTAAAGGTACTTCCACTGTTTGTAGACCCTAAACATTGTTGAAATTAAATTAACAACAAATTTTCCATATGATAATATTATTAATCTTCAAGTGTAAATGATTTTATCAGCTCGTTGTCCCATAAGTTTTGCTGAACTTTCTGCTCTAGTTCTTTTCACAGACCTTTCACAGTTCGCTTCCAAGAAATGCAACTTCATTCTCCCTCTTAGGTCAATCTCTAGCATTTGAAGTAAAACTGGACTTGAATTGAGTCTAGTTTGTAATTAGCAAGCTAGCAGGCAGCAAAAGCTGTTATATTCATCTAAAGCTCTTGATTATTTTGATAAGTAAACATTGGTCAGCAAATTCCTGCGTGCTGAAATCATTTTGTGGGTGAAATATCGTAGTTGTTTGCAAACTGCAACACTGATGGTGAATCAAACTGGACAGGCACTAAATTTTAGTCCATTTACGGTTTGCTTTTTCTGGTTCCCTATGCAGGTTGTCAAGCAGCAATTGGTTTATGAAATATTGGACAAATTGGTTGAAAAGCAAAGACCTGAGAACTGCGGCCTTGTTACAGATTTTTATCAGGTGTGGTAAACTTCCAAGAGATCTTTTTTTCTATCACTTGATGAACTCGATCCGTATTTCTGGCCTTCCTTTTATTGTCACAAGGTCTTCAATTTGCAGTAATGGCTCCTCACTAAAGGAACCATTTCCGGAAGGGGCAGAAAAAAATTAAGCAGATCTTATTTTCAGCAACAATCTAAAATTACTATTGCCCATCTTGAGTCTCTGTTTCTTATGTATTTTTCCTATCCACCTAGTAGATATGAATGTTTGATTGTTGTATGGCTATGCGTCGACCATTTGTAGGAAATGTTGTCAAAATGTGCCAACATGACTCTTCAAGAGGGAAGCTCGTGGACAACAGAAGAGTGGTTATCTGCTTTGTTGACGTCATCTTTGGTCTGTCCTTTGTCTTAGTTTTCTAGATGGTGGTGCCATTTGTATAGTTTTTTTTTTTTTTTGTATGATATTTTGTCATCCTTTTTCTCCTGTTAAGCTATATTCTGTTCTGTGGGTGCAAGTCGAAGAGTTTTGACATCTTCTCCTCATGGGTCTTCAGACCGGACTTGGTGTGGTTAGTGTTGGCACTATCTATATCAGTGCTGTCTAGATTTGTGGTGGAGCTATACTGGCAGAGATTGATCTATTATTTTCTTCGGCCATGGTCTGACCAATATTTTGTGTTATTACATGGTAATATGATTTCTTCTTGCTAGTTTTGTGGGTATCTAGATTGATCATGTCTTTTGCATCACATCATAGTTAGTATTGATTGAGAGAAGTTTCGATCTCCTTTGTCATCCATGAATGGTGTTTTCAATTGTTTCTGTTGCCTATGAGCTGCTTGATCCAGGTTTTCAGAAAAACCAATTGGCATGTGATGCTTACGAAAAAGCAAATTCAGTTCAGGTGGCAATGTGGCGGCATGTAGAAAGATGCAGCCTTTAGGTAGTGAACACAGCGTGTAATGGGAAAGGAAAGCAATTGCTGTATAAAAATTCACAATTTGAATGTTTCAGAAGAAGAATACGATAATGATATTCAAGATCCTACAACAATAAATTAATAATAGAAGTATGAAAATTAGGAAAAGAAAATAAAAAATCTTAATTTCTAAAGAGGAGAAATCTAGGTTGATGTTGTAGGTTAGGAACACAAAATGGTCTGCAAAAGGGTTCCTGGAGTGGGTTTTTATTTCAAAAAGATCTCAAATGACCTTTGATGATCTTTTAAGTAATATTGTTTTTGTATTTTTATAAATTTATTTTTAATATTAGCACATTAAAATATAATTTAAAAATATTAAAAAAAAATCAAATTTTATTTTTTTTAAAATTAGACGGCAGTATCAAACAAACATAAACCTTCAAATCTTCTAAAGCATCACCAGATTGTTGTGTGTGGTCCTACACTATATGATGGTGGGACTATCACATTAATTTTCATGTGATGGCTGTCTCTTGATGTTTAAAATTAAATGATTCGGGTATTGTAGCGTCGGGTATTGTAGCGGCAGATTTGAAAATAGAAGAGAGGAGAAGAAAATCAAGAGAGAAAAAGAAAAGAAGAGGCAGCAGAGCAGCCTGTGTTTTTTCTTTGATTTCCAGCTCGTTCATCGTTGGATCGGGCTAAGATTTTGACAGCAACTTCTAGACACGTTGATCTTCATTCTGGACGGTTGGATTGAAGATTGATGGTGTGGAAGCTGACCGTTTTGACAGAAAACGGAGCTGTCAATTTTGGGCTGTCAGTTTTGTGAGTTTTTCTCAAATAATTCTCCTTTAATCTTGTTGTAATCCGAGAATAAGTTGTTCTTGATGATATATATGTTGTATCCCTTAGTTGAATCTGAGGAAGAATAATTGTGAACCCATTATTTATTGATAGTGAAAGTTTTTAGGTGGATTACGGTCCCGTGGTTTTTCCCGTATCAGGTTTTCCACGTTAAAATCTTGATGTTGATTTTGTGATTATTTGCGTTATATTTTATCATTGTTTGATTGTATTTTACTACACAAAGAGAAAAAAAATTAGAACTTGTGAATTGTGAATTGTGAATTGTTGATGTCCAGTTGTTCCTAGTTTTCCCAGTACAGATTTAGAAGCCTGTATAAAATGTGCGATTTAGACAGAAATTGATAAAGAATAATGGAGAATAATTTAGGGATACAGTTAAGATTACAAGTTCCCCTGATATCAACGTCATGCAAGTCGTCTCCTACTCTTTTAAGTTTTACACTACAAAAGGACCACTAAAAGATTGCCAAGGATCATCAAACTCTAAATTTGTGGCCTTTTGGAAGGCTCCCTCTGTCTCATAAACACACACTTGCACAACAAAAGGAAAATTAAGGCTCTGTTGTTCAGTATTTGAGATGATTTGGTGCCTCGTTGGTTGTGGATATCAACATTTTTGTGTTTCTTTGTCACTGCTTACTTGGTATGAACAGAGATTGTTAGCTTGTTGATTATAAATTTAACAGCTTCAGAATCACTGATGCAAATGTTGGAACCAAAAAGAACTAATGTCCTGTTCGAGTGTGTGTGTGTGTGTATATATATTCTGTGTCTTGTCTTTGCTTGAGAAGGTCCACCCTTATCATTTCTCACCTTTATTATCTTTATCCAGAAAGTTGAATCTCTGTCTTATTTTTTCTAACTGCAAGTGGCTTCTAATCTAAAGCCAAGTGGGGTTCTATCTTTCTCTCTCTTTTACACACACAGGAGACTGGGGTAGGGTTCCTGCTGGCTGGTGTACATAAGCTCTTTATTTTGGTACCGGCCTTATCATGTTAATTCACTTGCCATGAATTCTACTGGTTTAGTCTCTATATAATAACATTTTTATATAAACTTTGCAACATTATAATGAAACTATATAACTATTAATAAAACTAAATAATTGTTTTATTTTGAATTAAATTGAACATATGCTATTTAATTTTATTCCAACAGTCAAAATTAAGGAAGACTTTGATAAATATAAAATTAATAAAATATGTTTGGTTAATGGAAGAAGATAGATACATTAAATAAATTATTTTTTAAATAATTTTAGAATTTTTTATATTAAAAAATACAAGAAACTACGTCTTTCCCAACTCACATAGCTTTATATTTCTTTTAATTCGAGACAATAATCAAATGTTATTTGTCTCTTATTATTATAATAACACACAAGCTTGCTTAAATAAATGGCCTAAATATTATCAACAAAGCTGTTCAAATTGTCGTAAGAACTAGACATATGAGTATATAATATTTAGTTTATAATTAAGCAAGATTATAAGTTAATTGCAAACTTTCAATCATAATATAAAACTAGTACACATATAAAATAAATATTAAATCATACATAAGAAATTGAAACTAACACCCAATATATATACTAAAGCATATATTTAAATAATACTTAGAGTAAAAGTATATAAATAATACTCAGAGTAAAACTATATAAAGCACTTGTTACAACTCTTACAATTTGATTAAGTTGAAAATCTTGTTATTATCAATAATTAATTTCTTATCATTAAAATTTTATTGCTTATCACTTGCTGTAAAAAAATTTTCTTCAATAATCCTTCTAGTACTTGAATAATATTGTCTTGTTTAGGTATATTCTTAAATAAAATATAACAAATTCAAATGAATTATATTCAATCTCTCTATGCTCTAGGGTAGAAGAAAATAGTAGAATAACAAGTAAAAAAGAACAAAAAAATAAAAGAAAAAACTCAAAAAATTATATATGACTTTTCTCCATCCAAGACATATATTTAAAGTAATAAAGAACCAAAACATTAATTTCACATAACTCATAAATAATTATTAATTATGATAATTATTTATGAATGTTTATAATTTATGAATTGTTCATGATAATATTTATTCTCATTACATAACTAATCTATTGATTCATGAACTAAGATATTTTATAAACTAAAAAAATTATAGATCAAATAAGGATTTAATAACAGTTTTTTTTTTATAAACCAAACCCAAGCTCAAACTTATAAGCCTATAAACTCTTATTCAATTTATGGAGCTATTTTGAATTGAAACTTTTATTCTCGAAAGGTGTTTGCAATTTCCAATGAGTATAATTCTAAGGTAATATTTAGTATATTATATAATATTGATTAGACTGAATAAATAATTATCTTATTTCATGTTTAATGTGCTTTGAATTAGATTAAATAATTTACTTTATTTTATATTTGTCAAGTATTAGACGGGACTCAACCAAACCAAGATTTAAACCATTCCAAGTTTAAAAAAAATAAAAAAATATTAATTTAATTTAATTTAGAAAAAAAAACTCAAGCCAACCTATAATAAAATACAAGTATAAACCATTATATATATATATATATATATTTCTTTGAATTTGTCTAAATTCTTTACGTGATTCTTTGACACAATGTTTTTCTTCCAAGAAAGAGGTGAGTTAGACAATGAATAACCACAAATTTTAAAAGTAAAAACTTCTTGTTAGTTACTATAACCTCCACCTCAATGTCACAATTTTTTTTTGTTATAATACAACCTAGCAATATCTTATTGATTACTATCATGGATTCATGTTTTTTATTAAAAAAAAGAAGATAAGTGATGAAGAGAATAATTATTTTCTAATCATTATAAATTTTTTTAATAGCAAATAGAAACTAATATTTATATTTTTTTTCCAACCAAGCCAAACAAAAATATGCAATGTGTCTAATACAAAATCCTCTTATTTTTTTAACTTCCTTGACTAGTCATCTTCGTATTAATATTCAGAATATTATAATCAAAAATTTATTTTAAAATTAATATGGAATTTATTTCAAAGTCTCATTCTAATTCCTTATCATATTTTGCTTCCCATTTCTACTTTTCCAAAATGATTCAAAATTAAACCTTTGTAATATTAGATTTTATTCTTTTAAGATGACAACTCAATTAGCAAGTAAATTTATTTCTCATTTCATGTTATTATCTCGAATTCAATGATATGAGAGTCTTGATATAAAAAAAATATTATGAGTAACTAATTTAATTTGAATTAAATAATTACTATTTCATATTTCCCCATGAAAGCGAAAATCTTTCATTTTAACTCGAAATATAACAGGGGTATTCTCGTAGTTTAGCTCAGGCATGATGGTTGAAGACCTTCAACCTCTTGAATTTCGTCTGCGTTGGTTAGGTGGGGTCGGTTACAATTTTGGAAAACCCAGTTTAGCTCTTGTAATTGTGTCAATTCAGCAACAAAGCCATTGTAGAAACAACTTTTTCAAATTTACCCTTATTAGTCAAGTTTTGTCATTTCAGACTAATTTCACTAAATTTCAACCAAATTATGCCAAATATACCAAGATGATAAGTCAATTTTTTTAACGTTTTTTTTATATATATATAAAAAAATCAAACTTCGGTTCCATGGCATCCTCTAGCGTGATATTTTGTATGTTTTTTTTATATAAAAAATATAATTATTAAATTTAATTTGGTTAAATGGGTTGATTAAAAAATCTTGTGATTTAGATCTAATTTTAATTTAAAAAAAAGATATTAATATAGTGAAATTCGGTTGATTTTATAGTTGACTTGTGACATTGTTGATATATTCAAATTTGAAAGTTTGATTAATACCAAAAATAAAAACAATACAAATAAAATGATGTTATTTTGATTTTAAAAAAATAAAATGAGTTGATTTATTGATTTGTAGATTGACCT